GTATCCTGCAAGCACTCTGTACGAAGGAAAATATCAAATACACGGAATGACTTAATGAACAATTTTACCAAAAAACATATATATTTTCGAAGATGTCATAAATAATCATACCAACCCTCTAGCTAAGTCATTGTTGTTAAATCATATCGAAATCCAGCTATTCTTGATTTTTATGGAACGTACGTGGTGACCATGTCTCCTAACGTCGTTCCTATAGTATGCCCATACAAAGCATTCTTGTTAAGCCAAAAAATGGAGGTAGTTACAACGACGGATTATATAATAACATTATTAGGTCCATACCTGGCGGGACAACAAAGACAATGCTGCTTGAATACATACTCACATGATGAGAATAAATAGAGAGGAAATCAAATCTAGTGGATTAAAGAAGAAATATATGTGGAGCTCGTAGAAAGTTTGATATGTATGCTCTTCTATATTTCTAAAGTTATGGTGTGGCCCTAATTCCTATCCATGTTAAATTTTTCACTTTCAAACATTTTTGGGGTCGGGACCAACATACCGTTATTTATACGTCAGACCGTACTAGATACCGACATTTTGGATATACCAAACCAGGTACTTCCCACTGAAAAACAGGCAATATATGCCCACAATTTTAGAATTCACTCATACATTTTTGTATCATTCTAATTTACCAGTCTATTTGTGTTCTACAAGGATCACCAGTCCTTCATCTTTCACCTTAATTACTAAAATATATTCTACATAGTTTTAAATTTACACCTATGCGTAGGAACTATTTTGTTTTAAATATGTACTACTTTCCAGTATGTTCTTTTTTGACCGGGCCCGATTTTGTGGTGTTACATCTAACAAAGTCTATCCAGATTATTTTTGCAAAGAATTCCGATCAAGCCGGTGCTAGGGGCTGTCTTAAAACTGCGGTTAGGTGTGAATTTTTTACTTTTGTTGAAGGCCTCACTGTGACTTTGAGTTGAAGAACAACAATAAAAGCGCTGTTCCTTTGCTTTTTTGTGTGTTTTTTTTTTGCTGTGCATGTACTAATTTTCTGTCATGGATAGATGCCCAATATCCTTTGTTTCTCTATTAAAGTATCTTTGTTGTTGAAGAGAAGCAAAAAATACCAAAAGGACATATAAACTCACAAGTCGAAAATAGACTGACAACGCCATGGCTAAAATGAAAAAGACAAACAAACAACAGTACACAAAAGACAACATAGAATACTAAAGACTGAGAAACACGAACCCCACCAAAAACTTAATCTCAGGTGCTTCGGAAGGGTAAGCAGATCCTGTTCCACATGTGGCACCCATCGTGTTGCTCATGTTAGTACTAATCCGATGATAAGTCTAATTTGGTAGGTAACATTCGAGGAAAAGGGGACGGGATTGTAGTTACGACAATTTGAACATATTCGTTGTCATCTGTGAAACGGATATTCCATAATGGTCAACCAACTCGGGATGGCATCCATAAAATTTACAAAAGGCCGATTACAACTTCACCACTTGGAACTCTTGGTTTAATAGCTTCCTTGTGAGCAGCAACCCTCTATCAAGGAAATCATGATAGGAAATACAAGCACTGGAATATCGCATCAACTGGGAGATATATACCCCCATGCAGGTGCTGCTTGGATTTTGTTATATAACATGGCGTCAATATGACAAAGACATTGAATATGCCTGTAAAACACTACGTATCCACCATACAATAATATCTTCTGCTTCATGTGAAATCCTCCTCAAAAATCAAACTTGCCTGAAATTTCAACCTGCAACGAAACAGGACGCCATCACGAGTTGGTTGACCGTTATGGAATATCCGTTTCACAGATGATATCGGATATGTTCCTTATGTCGTAACTACAATACCCTTCCCTTTTCACGAATGTGACTTACCGAATTAGACTATTTACCGGATTTGTAATAACATAAGCAACACGACGGGTGCCACATGTGGAGCAGGATCTGCTTACCCTTCCGAAGCACCTGAGATCACTCCCAGTTTTTGTTGGGATTCGTGTTGCTTAGTCTTTAGTTTTTTTATGTTGTGTCATCTGTACTAATATTTGTCTGTTTGTCTTTTTATTTTTGGCCATGGCGTTGTCAGTTTGTTTTCGATCTATGAGTTTGACTGTCCCTCAGATTAGAAATAAGCAACTATACTCCTTGCATATGTCTATAAGAGGTATTATAAGTTATGACTTGTATCAAGATAACGCGCTTGATCTTAGTTATGAACCAGTGCAAATGAACCGTATCAGTTCATCATCTGGTTCTAAAATTATTTGCATAAAACGTTACCGAAAATGGAAACATAAATTGATAGCAAGTTACCTCTTTCATTCAGTGTTATGAGTTTTAGCATCTCAATCATGTTAAGTCTTGGTGAAAAGTGTCATTGTAGTTTATCTGAAAATATCCTAAGGAATTTTACACTGCGAAAAAAACATAAAAGGAATCATACTATATGTGAACAAAGAACCGAGATAAATATTCAATCAGCATGTGAAACGCTGTCAAACGAAATCGTAATAAAAAGTATGACAAAAAGTTACATGTATCCTGTGTGTGGGAACCAGTTTGAATGAAAAATGACATATGTCAACGATCAACCAGTTGATTTGAAACAGTTCACAAAGGAAAACATTGAATGCGATCTATTTAACTGTATGGATGGTCAAATTATTTATCCTTTACCGTATGTCTTTTGTAACTGTTGCACTGAAGTTGAATAGCCTACAGTTACTGCTATAGCAAGTTTACCCCCAAAGTCTTTTTTTTTTATTTACATATCTAATCGCAGATATTACACATCAGTTTGCAAGCACAACGAGATTTACGATTATGTCCAGGTAAACAGACTATTCTATATTTTAGAAATGATAATATATAGTTGAATGCGATTGTACATTGCAATACTGCACATGACATAATTCTACGATTAAACATCAATTGAAACATGCCATACTTCTTCTAAATTTCGTAGCCCTGAAAGATAATTCAAAGTTGGAATTTATTTTATGGTTTATATTGATTTTTTCATATGAACTAATTTGATTTATTTTCAGAGCAAATTGCAGAAGTAACTAATTCGTGCATAATAGTTATTTCTTTGTTTTACCTAAAATAGATTGTTTAATTTGTTTTTTCGATTTCAGGTAAAATGTCGCAAAATCGGTTGTTTCAAAGGAAAGCAGTTAATGGACGAACAATGTGAACCATAATTACATGCATCCATGTATAACCGACCATTTGGATATACTTTCCCATATATTTTAACCCCGTATATATTTATATCATTCATGTAGATATTTCACAGAATTTGCAAAACGATTTGAATCAAATTATTTTCCAGTCTGCAATCCGTTATTTGCATAGAGCCAAGAAATACAACTGACGATTCTTACCATGCAAATATAGATGTTAATGGTGAGTAATCAATTTAAGGGAACGAAAAAAAAACTTATAAATTATTCTTATAATTTTCTGAAGCTATAAGAACATGACAGTTACTTTCGATTATACATCACATCTTCCTTTAATTGATTTGCAGACATGCCGTATTTACCAGTGGTGAACACAGGTTATTGAAAAAAAAAACCAACAGCTGGATTTACTGAACTACGGCGTAAAGTTTCAATTCTACCAGTATCATGTAGATTCAGAGAAGAATTTGGAAATTTGTATTGAAGATTTTCGAAAAATGATCAACCCTTTTAATACGCATAATATTGTGTTTTCCGCCATAATGATAACATGCACTTTAATATCTTCACTGTGTCTACTGTCAACATTATTTACATACTGTTTGTTTCCCTCACTGTGGACTCGTCCTGGAAAGAACATCATGACCTTGGCGTTTTCTATGCTACTGTATCATTCACTGTATTTAGTATTGATAATGGCCGAAAATGTAAATAATATAGTATGTCAGATAATCGGAATTCTTACTCCTTTTTTCTATTATCAATACTTGGTTGCTTTACTGCGTGTACAGTTCATATGTTTATAGTGTTTGGACAGAGTAGACTTACGTCAACACTAAAGGCTAATCGAAACAAATCATTATATATTCTGGTTGTATATAGTTTCTGTTTACGTCTCTGCAGCTGTAATTGTTTCTGTCAACATTATAGTCGTATACCTTGTAACAGCAAAGTCCACTGGGTATGGATTATTGGGAAATGTTTTATCTCACGGTTAGAGAGCTTTATCGTAACAGTTTTGACAGTTAACTGCAACATTTACTACAAACTTTGTATACAATTACAGTATATATACTGTCCAGAATGACTACTTTGAATTCAACCCCTGTAGAAACAATCAAACGGAAGTAGGTATCTTCCTTAAACTTTTCATTGCAACCGGATGTTCATGGATATTACTGCTTGTTAATTTCTTCGTAAATGAAATGCCTATTTATACCTTAATAGCAGGTCTCAATGGATTACAAGGACTTTATATTTTTATAGCTTCTGTGTGTAACAAGCGTATCCCTCGATTAAACAAAAGAAAACTGACTAGAATTACCGATCGGTACTCACATCCTAGTTCGTAAGCTACAATTACCAACTATGTATTTATCGATTATACAAAAGTAAACTGATAGAATTACCGATCGGTACTCACATCATAGTTCGTAAGCTACAACAACTATGTATTTATCGATTACACAAAAGTAAACTAACTAGAATTACCGATCGGTACTCACATCATAGTTCGTAAGCTACAACAACTATGGTGTCCCTTTCACTTTTACGAATAACCAGCTCAGAAAGTGTTAAAAAGAAAGACCTAATAGGACTATAGATAAAACCGTCAGTTTATCAAAATTTGAAATGTACATCTTCATAGAATTGAATAATCGAGTGATTCACTTATACAGGGTATATGTATTCCCGATATTTAGAAACATTATGATCTGTTCAAAACACCTTATCACCATTTCATTTCATTTTAACAACCAATAATTGCTTTTAATAGTACGACAAAAGGAGACCGATACTGGACGTTAGTCCATTATTAACCAATTACAGATACTGTACAATAGTTCGTTTTTAACCATTCATTAATTGATGAATTAGGGACAGTTTCTCGTATTACTGTCAAAATTCAATAATAAATTTCACAATTTGTATCTGTCTATATGTAAATGTTTTAAATCTGTTATACAAAATGCAATTTTATTTACAAAAGTTGATGAAATTGTCCAATGAAATTCTTCAACGATCTATTATTGCTTATACCTTTCACGATCGTTGACAATTGCAAGATAACTAGCTTATAATTTTTTGAGTGCATAAGGTTAATATGCATATTTTACAATGAAATATAGCGAATCGAATATTTTTCAGCGGGGCTCAAATACAATGTATTGTAGACCTGTGGTAAAATATGATAACATTACTTGAAAACATAACAGCATGTACTATAATTGTTATCAATAGATAATCTACTGACCAATAACTGGTATCAAATGATTGTGTAATAATGTAATATGAAAATACACGATATATTAAGAAATATGTATTTGGTATTCTATTTTCTAAGTGTTAACTTAGGAACTATATACTACAGTATTTGGAAACATTATCCTAGCTTTAGATTTCCATATGTCCCCTTGATTCTGTACAAAATGATTACTTCTTGGCGATAATGTGTCCAATTCAATCATCTACAAACATAAAAAGAGAAATTAACAATTAATAAACATTTTATTTGTTTCCTAAGGTTGCTACATTATGAGAGAGTTGACCTTAGGTATTTGTCCACTCATTTTGGTCCTATTTGGTGACATACTCCTCCCAGTATTCATAAATCTTTTGCTTAGCACATGTTTGACCCTGGACGTGCCTTGCGGTTGTATTATTTATTTAGTTAAATTAAATGAATCTATGTAGCATTGAAAATGTTTTCGTGTTGAGGTTTAATGTAATGTCAGATGTTTCCCTTTCATTGATTTAAGTAGTGTTCATTCTTCTTGCTTGCAATCAATTGACACCTGTTCAGCCCTGTTCACGCATTTAAGTATGCAAGTATCACAGGTAAATAGCAGCTGCTGAAAGATCTTACTAGATCGCAAGTAAGATATCTGACCGTGCTGACCACTAAACATGACGTAATGATTAATTGGTAGTCTTTTCAAATCTGTTCAGCTTAAACAATACTATTTCAGTTCAGTTTTACAGCAAACGCTACAGATCGGGCACAAGTCAACCATAATTTAAAATTATATTGGTTAGGCATCACTTGTCTTCATTACAGAACCGATTCCAATGCATCTTTAATCAAGGCATAATGTTACAATGTTTTGTATATAAGAATCAAATTTGATATCCTTGTATTTCTTTCTATTTTTTAAATTCAGTTTACATAAGAACTAGTCTTACAAATTGGTGCGTCTATTTTCCGTTGTTTTGTTACTGACAAAAGTAAATAACGAGTAATTTTGATTTTGTTTTTTGGCCAAAGGTCTTATAAATAAAAAATAATACACACTTCATCATGTGATAATCGCCATCCACTGCCAGATGCCATATTCTCTTCTAACTGTTGTATACTAGTGGCACCTATTATAACTGACGCCACGATGTTCTTTTGCAGGACCCATCTCAATGCTATCTGACTCACAGTTTTCCCTTAAAAAATAAACACATTTAGCAATATGTTAAGGAATAAATTCGGTTTTCAACATCATTAAGTCATATTATTATTTCATTCTAAAATGTCTTCACAAATGTATTGATATCGTTAAAGACAACCCTTATGAATTTCAAAAGGGAAAGGGTTGGGATGTTAAAATTTTTTTATCCCGCGATTTATTCATGTGCATGCTCCGAGTCTGGTACCTCGTAGTCATTTTTCTCTAAATATAGGATGATATATAGCTAGACATATTAAATAGACACTTGCCTCTTGTTACTACTGTACCGTGCCTCTAGGTCTCAGTTTTTCGTGTTTCATTGACATATATCGACATCTCATTTTATTCATATATACAACTAGCACACATCATTTTCTGATGGTTCTGTAGTCATTGTATCTTATGAACTGCTACAGAGTTTACTGATGTTTTCTATATTGACTATGCATTAAATGTTTACTGTAACATAACATACGATTACATTACCATGACTTTCTGCCATTTTTGTCATAGCTGCCATCAATTTCCAATAAGAATCGTCGTTTTCATAACTATGTAGGGATGGACATGATTGTGTACTTTTATAGCCTATGGAACTGGCATGTGACAAACGTCCTGATGTTACAGCAAAATTACCATTCTGTTTTTTGTATTTCCCACTGAGTAATCCACTAAAGAATAAAACAAAAAAAAAAATAGGTAAAGTGTTAAGAATTTAATTTCTACATCAAGATTAAACTAGTTACGACTATAGTTTTAATAAGAATCCTTAATATACTGTCTGTAATAATGTTCTTTGATAATTAAAATATTTTTTGCATACGATCATTTGAAGTGAATTATATCGGGGAAAGCGTTCCTTTGCCTGATATAGTCAGCACAGTTGTTGTAGAAAGTATGCGTTCGATCTACCCATCAAAAGTATGTTCATGTGAGTAGTCGGAAATTACCTCAATCGTTGTTTGCATCTTGAAAGCACTTTATGAAAGTATTAATTGCAGTTCAGAACGAAGTGAAAACGCAACCGTTGTGTACTTGTTATAATAATGTATGCAGACTCATGCGAAATGAAAATGTGTCTTCGGTTGGATTTTATGCTCAAATTCTTACAATGAATATTTTGATGTTATTTTTATAATACTTTGTTAATACTGACAGTTCGTATAAAAAGTAGAATAATGCTGTGTTTTGCCTCGACTATGCAAAAAAAAAAAAAAAGATTCGACTGACATGTTGTACCTTTCTTCGGGTCGTGCACTAAGAGTTCAACCTTGGATTATATTTTCGCATAGTTAATGCTAATGACAACATAGATTAATACATATTAAATCATAATTAGGATAACTGTTTTATATATTTATAGATATAAGAAGATGTGGTATGAGTGCCAATGAGACAACTCTCCATCCAAGTCAAAATTTATAAAAGTAAACCATTATAGGTCAAAGTACGGTCTTCAACACGGAGCTATAAAGCTATAAAGGGCCCCAAAAATTACTAGTGTAAAACCATTTAAACAGGAAGACCAACGGTCTAATTTATATAAAAAACGAGAAACACTTATGAACCACATCACCAAACGACAACTACTGAACATCAGATTCCTGACTTAGGACAGGTGCAAACAATTGCAGCGGGTTATGTATACATATCTGTTGCTTTCGTTCAGCTAGAAAAAAATGCATGCAGTGTTGAAACTACAACTCCCCTGTGGAAAATAACATGTTATGTTGTTGTCTCCATAATCAAATAACTGGGTTGAGTAATGAATAGCCTGATGTTTTGTCGAAGTGCTAAATCTTTCAAGTTTACTGTGGCTTCGCCCCCGTCCAGGCATCTCGCTCGTGATATTAGACCCAACCCCATTCAATAATAGTTGCTATGACATCAACATCAGTTGCCAAGCAAGTATTTAAAAAAAACAAATCACACAAAGAGCAGCAAATGCTTTGACGTAATCACATTGGATATCTCTAAAAACTAAATGGGATTGAAAATGCCAATATGCAAAACGTTTTTATAATATTCATTTAAGATTGAATAGAAATTCTCTGCATATACTATAGTCTCAAAGCACGAACATTTCTTGAATAAGAAAAGAAAAAAACAACCAACCCTTTTAATGCGCCAAACGGTAAAACACCGACTCCTTCGTTGTTGCAGACTTCGAATTCATCATTTTCTGATTCTCTCCGGAGTAAATTATATTGTTGCTACAATTGAGGAAATCGTTTACAGTTTTATCAAACATGTTTAATGCTTCATGGATTCTGTCTATGAGGAAAAATATTCATTTAAGTGATATGATAATCATATATATAATATCAGTCACCATAAGAAAATACATGTTAAATTAAATTGTAAAGGGTAGTGGAATTTTGAACATACTTTTTGTTTATGAAAGTATAATTATGGTACAAAGATTTTTCAAAAGATTTCAATTTTGACTGCCAAACAACAATCGCGAGGCATACCAACATTATATTTTATTTCCTAATAAAATACAATATTTAGGAGTTGCAATGCATAGGAAAAAACAATAAAATTTTGATTATTTCATGGTATGACGTTTAACCAGATTTGTACTTGCATTAGCTACACGACGGTTGTCACATGTGAAGCAGGAACTGCTTACTCTGCCGAATCACATGAGTTCACTCCGGGTTTTTGGAGGGGTTGAACGCACATTTTTAGTATAAAACACTGAATCATTCAATTCTTAAGTACAGTAGTATATTCAAATAACACCAAAGCAATGCATAATAAAGGAGTAGGTATTATAAGGTCATTGTTTGGCCCCTTCAATTAAAAAATCAATAGAAATTATAAATCTACCAAATGACATACTTCAAATGTTCATTAGACATCAGTATCTATATTTTGAATTGTGTTGAAAATATTGGCGTTAAGGTTTCAAACTTCTTACATTTAGTACAAAACATCAAAAAGCGCTAAAACAGTCTCGTTTTGAGATCTTGTCATTAATATTTAGATATGAGCAGGAGCTTTTCCCAAAAAAGATATTTTGCTACAAAGATGTTCATGTTTGTAAACAACTTTCTGGTAAAGCTCTTTCTCATATATATAATGATCTAAAAGTAAATGACCAGTTTCGGCCGAATAAGTTATTTCCCACATGTTTAAGGCGTCATAGGGACATCACTAGTAGCCTTTTTCCACTAACATTTCCAGATTAAAACATCTGATTCATTATACATAAGATTAACATAATTTTGAAAGGCTTTAATATGTTAACTTTTTCTAATATCAGGGGCCAAACAATGGCTCTTATCATACCTCCTCCTTTTCTGCACCATGTGCTAAATTAAAAAATTTGAATTGAGGTATTGTACCTTTTTATTAAGTGATTAGATACGCTTAAGTAATACTAACATGTAAAAAAGATATTATTAATTCTTGGATATTGCTGTTTTTTTTTATATATTCGATGAAGCAAGTTTAGGTGGATCTCGAGGGTCTGAAAATGTTTAAGCGTAACACACGTGTTTCTTGAATTAAATCATCAAATACGCCTGAGACGAAAAGTTAAAAAAGCAAAATAATAGAATGTCTGAAAAGTAAACACTAAAATAACACTATTTGATCTAAATTGCATCAAAAGAGAAAGACATGGATCATTACACGTAGAAGTTGCAATGCCATAATGATGCGTCATCTTTTCAATATTTCTATAAAAGATAATACCTGTAAAGTTATGACAGATGGTAACCCCACATATTTAGACATGTCCATCATTTTCTGTAACTGCCAACCTTTAAGATTGCTGGCACCAATATACCTTACTTTTCCTCCTCGGATAAGATCGTCAAACGTTCGCAATGTTTCCTCAAGAGGGACAGAATCATCCCAAGCATGCATCTATAAAATTAGATATTGACTGACAAAATACATGTTATTACTAAAGTTCTTTTATTTTCATATCGATATTATTTTTTCAAACCAACAGAACACTGGTTTGTGCAATAATCACAAGTATCCTTGTTTAATTGCTATTTCACATTTGACAAGATGTATTTGTTACTAATTTTTAAGCATGAGATTGCATGCATCTCAATATTTGTTTATTGTACCTGATATAAATCTATATAGTTTGTCTGTAATCGTCGTAGACTTTCATGACAGCTATGTATAATGTGTCGTCTGCTGAGTCCACTATCATTCGGTCCTGGTCCAACAGGTGCACGTACTTTTGTTGCAAGGACAATGTTTGAACGATTTTTTCTGAAAAAGGTCTTAAAGTACTTCATGGTCTGCAATCTTAAATGTGGATTTTAAACTACTGTTGTTGTTATCATTGTATAAAAAAGTAATAATATACTAAGAGAGCAACCAAAAACATATGTTGAAGAAAGACAGGACATACAATGACAAAAAAACTAACGGCAAAAATGATTTCATTTTTGAAACCTATATCAGCTAGTTTTATATTGTGCTACGGAGTTAAAAATGAAAAACGTTTAACGTTTCATTTTTTTAAAAATATATTTTCGTGCTTGTATAAAAAATGATATAGAGGGGGGAAAAGAAAGTCGTTTAAACGTTCAACATGAGACTGCCCAAGTTGCACCTATTTAGACAGTGTTTTCACCTACATTTAGTTAAGAAACAGACAAAAGTTTCCATTCTGTGTGTATTTTGTGGATGTATCCTTATTTACTATAAAGTTCCACACATTTAATTTTGAATCAATGCTGAATCACAGTAAATGGGTTTGAACCGACCACCAAACGACCCAAGATTCTGTTATGAGGAGTACCTAAATTGCATCTATGCTTAACTTCAAATAACTGATGTTTTATTTTATTTCTCCACATTTTTAGAACAATTTGACAATAGTCCATGCTTACTATGCACTTGGTAAGAAATGGTTGCCTGTGACATATTTTATTTGACTTTATGTGAACGTTTGGTAGATTTTACTTTCTTTACTGGATACTTCATCTGTAGATGTATAAGGTGTCAGTTTTGTTTACATTTAAATATATCTAGCTATGTCGAAAGACGTGCTAAATGTCAAATTATAAAGGCAAAAAATGTTTAGTCTCTATGAAAACCTTCTTTTACCACATAACTGGTATTCTTATTTACTAACTATAATTGTCACGAGTGCATCACTGATCTACCATTAAATCAAATACTTTGAAACTGAAACGCTTGTGGATTGAACAGTTCATAAGTTGTGTATTTTTACTATTTAGGCCGACATGTGTTTGATAAAGTTTCAACATAGAATAGTTAATCATGATTTATTGGGGGTTTTGTAAATGTACTTCTGTCCAAGGTATGCGTGATTGTGAGTAGTGTATGTCTGTTTGTCCGTCCGACAGTATGTCTGTCTGTATGTATGTATGTATGTATGTTATTGGTCAAGACGTTATACACGAAGTAACTGAGACAGCACAACACTATTCACCTCGACGACATTTAATTTATAAATTGATCAATTGTTAATTTCCATTTGATATACCGCTAACTTGCTTCATTTTGAATTTAAGACGAAAAAACAACATTTAATGAAAGTGTTTGTTTAACAATAATCACCTGCATAACCATTGTCCAATTGTCTCTTCTGATTTTCCATGGGAATATAAGTTTGACGTATCAATCATGTTACCTCCAAGTTGTATAAATCTGTCTAAAATTTTGTGTGAATTTTCTTCATCCGTCTGTGTTGGACTTGTATAAATCTAGGTATACACAAATACATGTTTTAGCGATCTTTTCATTTAGCTTTCATTTGATACAATAATTACCCAGATGTTTCATTTTTTAACAAAGTTACAGCTATGCATAGGAACTTTTTTTTTAAATAAGAACTACCTTTTTGCATGTTCTTTGCGACTGGCCCCGAATTAGCGGTTTCTATACCATAATAGAACAAAAAGAACAGTAATAACCTTCTAAAGTCAGCTTTGCCAACGGGGAATTACAATCTTAGTCTTCGTAAAATAATAAGAGATTTATAGAAAAAGGGTATAATTAAATAAATCAAAATTAGAAAATGGTTTCTTACGAAAGAGGAAGAACCAATAATATCCCTTTAATACATAAATAAGAAGATTTGGTATAATTGCTAATGAGACAACTCTCTCTAACGACCAAATGTCATAGAAGTTAGCAACTGTAGGTCACGTTAGAGCCTTCAACATTGAGAAATACCCAAACCGCATAGCAAACTATAAACGACCGGCCAATGCCAATGTAAAACACTTCAAACGAGAAAAACAATAAACGAAAAACAAATATCATATACAGCAACAAACGACAACCACTAAATTACAGGCTCCTGCCTTGGGACAAGCATATACAGAATGTTGCGGGGTTAAACATGTTCGCTGGCTTCAAACCCGCCTCTTTACTTGGGACAGTGGTCTAAAAAGTTAAATAGCAAAAATACCGAAAATAGCCCTAGTGTGAAATAAATGAAGGAAATTAGCCCTATTTAAAATTTGGTTTTCCGTTCTATCGTTGTTGGTTTTTTTCCGGAGAATTTATATGATTAACGTAATACAATAGAGCTTTAAATATCTTGTTTTTCCACACTACTTTCGTTTACAAAATGAAATGTTGGTAGAAAGTGACGTATACGTTGTATTTCTGGAAAATGGAGCTTTCAGATGAACGCTTTCTTTCTGTATCTATATTTTTCTTGTTTGTGTAACTCATTTCCATTCTTGATAATCAGTCCAAAGTATTTTAAAATTGTTGACTGTTACATTGTCATATATACATGTATACGTGGTTTACGTAATAATGTCAATGACCTACCATATAAGGTAAATAGTAATGTACCTAAGTGTATACATATATGATTTAAAAGTGCATTACCACACACACATAGTACGTGTTAGTACTTACGGCTGAATAAGACTCTTCATTTTTACCAAACGTCATTGTTCCGAGGCATAAATTGGAAACGACGAGGCCAGATCGACCCAAATGGGTATAGTCTACTGTATTTTCGTTGCCGCTGCTCATTGTATGATGAAGGAATATCCTGTACAAGTCTTCTCCAAGGCAAACTACTTATATAACTGAGTTGTTATCTTTTCTCATTTTTCACATTACATGTAAGGTGGTCTAAATAAACACTCCTTTGTCTATTTCAGTTTTATAGTTAGACTTGATAGTAAGTGTAGGGCAAAACCCAGGTAGAGGTCTAGTGACTGAATCCAATTTTTACCCAGTGGATTTTTATGTAGTTAACCCCTCTCGATGGAAGCAGTGAATATGGTTTAATGTACTTTAAGGTTCTAAGCATATTATAGCTTATATCTAAACATACGACCAATATATTGTTTTCTAGAAATAGCTCAAAACTGTAATTTTAATTTCAGTAGATTTTAGAAATGTTTAGTAGCCATCAAAAAATGTGCAAGGGTATTCACAGGAATACATCCATTTGAAGTTAAGTTATACATTGTCTAAGAGATACTAATAATATAAAAAAATATTAGTACATTAACTTTTCTCTTTGTTACGTAGGTGCCATTAAGACTCTAGCTGATTTTTTTTGGCTGGGCGATATTTATAAAATACAAAGTCCAGTCAAAATGGGGACGTATTACTCTTTTATTCAATGACAGTCAAATTGTTAGGACATTTCAAAGGGTCAACCAACTTTTAAAATCATAATTGATTTTACGGATAAATTAGTTCTTGCTCTGACTTGTTTGGCTTTATAAATATTTTGATCTGAGCGTTACTAATGAGTCTTATGTAGACGAAACGCGCGTCTGGCGTATCAAATTATAAGCCTGGTACCTTTGATAACTATCTGACTATAAGTGAAATAATTGCCGTTGGAAACAACAACCAACCATTAAGCAATCTGGAATCTCAAAATGCTTGAATTGGATATCAAAGATCATCTTAAATGTGTCTTTAATCAGCTACGACACACTCACATGATAGTGATAGAGCGATTTGTGATGGTGACTGTAAAAATACTCATTTTAAATACATTAAAGATACCAGGCTTATAATTTGGTATGCCAGACGCGCGTTTCGTCTACAAAAAACATATCAGTGACGCTTGAATAAAAAAAATATTGCTGTTACAAATAAAGTTTTTGCTAATTAAGATTGATTGATTGATTGATTGTTGTTTAACGCTACTTTCAACACTATTGTGCTATTTTGTGACGGTCAGTTTTTATTGGTGGAGGAAGCAGGAGAGAACCACGGAACTTCGGTTGGAAAACTGACAATCATAGTCAATTAAGATTGGAGTCGATTGTACCTGCCACGCGCGGGATACGAACTCACAACCTCAGTGTTGATAGGCTAGTGATACAGTAGTTGGACTACTTAGACAATTCGGCCACCGATGGCCCTGCTTTTGAGAATAATTCTGAAACTAAGGTTCATACTCCCTCATGCAAAGTTGACCTTAGATGAATTTGGCTATTCTTGTTAGATCCATTTTGGTCATATAGGCTCTTACTGTTCTACTTATTTTTATATTCCTGCGTTTCAAATGTTTAAATAATCTTTTTATTAAGATAAGTTCCAGAAAAAAGCATCGGACCTAACATGAATAACCTTTTGATCAAATAGCTCACAACGCATCTGCCTTTCAATTGTTTAGGTTTGATATATATGCCTTTCTTATAATTTTATGAATGTACATCATTTGTATAAGGAAAACGGAAATAAAATTTCATATTTTTTTAAATAAAAAAAAAAAAAAACCCGATAAATTCTGTTTCAGACGAGTTAAGAAAACATATCCATAAAGAGTACTGTACATTATTTCTAACCGGAATGGCAATTGTCGTTTGAAAAACCTGTGACCGAACTTGTCGAAGAATATTTATTGAAACGGTTTTGTGTATTAGTTAATCTCCCTGACATGGTATGCTCTTGTCCGTATAAAACCAGATATCAATACGTCATTTCGGTAAAGAAAACAACGATACTAGTATAGTAATGTTGGAAATTATCTTTCGTGTTATCAGAAAAATTTAAGTATTAAGAGGAGAAAAGACAAAAACGTTTGCTGCAAAATTCGAAGTATTTTAGATTTAAATTACTTAAATACATTTAAAAATCCACATATGATTCAGCCTTCTAGATGAGTAAACGTGATACAATCTTGATATGACCATTTTGACACAGATGTCAAAGAGTCTCAAAGAGGCTTGGCTAACCGAACTTAGACCTGTCTAATTTTCGTATCTAATAAAGGGATGTTATGTATATTTGTTAATATTATTAATCCAATATTTTTAAGGATTTGTGATTTGTTAAAACTTTATCACATGTACATTTGCATTCACTCAGTTTGCACGCCAAAATGGTTTTGTTAAGCTTCTCATAGGTAAAAAACAGCATATTGCACAGGGCATACAGCATGTTACTAAAAATACATTCTAGAAATCCCCAATTTTACATTGTTCATGTAATTGTTGTTGATCAATAATACAACAATTGTAGCCTTTGGCTGAGGTCAATACGATGTTATATCGACCTCGGACTTCGTCCTCGATCAATATGCTTCTCTTATGTCGATATAACCTCGTATCGACCTCATACAAAGTCTATAATTGTATATTGATTGGATTTTACAACATAGACAAGGACAAAAAAGACTTGTTATTCAAATGTTTCTCCTTCTGGGTAATTGTAATTTCCAGTTATATCGTTACTTGCGTCTGGAATACACAATTTATGGTCGGGATATCACCAGCCGAGTAGTCAGCACTTGTGTGTTGACATGAAATATTATTTATTGTTTATTTTCTGTAATTTACTGATTACTATCATTCTAATCATTCAATAATCTCGTGTTTTTCTATCCCTGGCTAGCTAACTATCTTAGCCATTTGTCATAATTTTTCGGTATTTTAGTTGTCGAAGCTCTTTAACATTACACTTGATCTAGACTTTCAACCGTTTTTGATTCAAACGCCACTGCTGAGTCTCGTGTAGACGAAACTCGCATCTGACGTACCAAATTATAAGCCTGGTATATTGGATGAGTCAACTTTGATTGCAATGATGTCAGGCTTATCATTTGATACGCAAGAAACGCGTATATATGATGATATACATGGAATTCTTTTTTAATGCTATGACATAGATGTCAAACAGACACGTGTGCTTTCAGAATTGCTGTATTGAAGACCATTACCCATATTGATAGCATTTAAAACCTTTGTAAACTAAGTCGGAAGACAAGACGCCTTTCGTGTGAATTCTTTGTAAGTAGGTGGCGTACAGATGGCATACAGTTTAGGTGGCGTATATATAGCATAAAGTGTAGGTGGTGTACAGATGGCATGCAGTTTAGGTGGCGTATAGATGGCATTCAATTTAGGTGGCATAAATATGGCCAGTTTGTACATCAACGTTAACTACAACGTACTGTTACAATAAATCACATTCAAAAAATCTCAACATGCACTTAAAAGGGTATCAATTTTCTAAATTTTATGACTGGTATTGCGGTTTTAGTATTTTGTATAGTGTTTTTGGACATCCTAATCTTCGGTTTGTTATTCTTTTTGACCGTGGTGTCGTCTGCTTTTTTTCGACTGATGGTTTATTCAGATCACGATATATTCTAGATAATTGGGGTTGTTTAGACGTCACTGAGACAGTTATCTCAAAAATCAAAAATAATTCGAAAAAGACCCTTGTAATGCAAGTCTGTCCAGAAATAAAACATGTTTGAACATACAATGTTTGACATGTTATGCGATATTTTTATGTCAATCCTTGATCTTTATTCATTAAAGTTTCTTTGTATTACCAAGCAAACTGAATCGGATGTCTTAAATAACCAATAAAAGTACCAACATAGTCAAAACATGTCCCAAAATACACCGAAAAATCGTGCTCCCACTATGAATTTTTGCAGAAAATAATAACCACAGGGAATGTTAATTGTTAACTGTATCACTTTATTGTTTAAGATCAGTTGAAATATAGAAATACAAACTTGAAGTACACTTTATTCATACTTAACAGCCATGAATGTCTTGGAAAGGATACGATTCTAGATTCGGCGTTTCACATTCATGGATAGATGACTTATCGACACTAGAATTCGATTTATCTTTGATTGATGCAGGAATCTTGACGATTGTTTCTTCAGCTTTAGTATTTTGCGGTGACTTTAGAATAGTATTATCATCGTTCGTATCTTTTGTTAAGGTTCTTTGTGATGACTTTAAAATTGAGTGGGTATTTGTAGTACCTTTTGATATTGGGTTAGATCCATGAGATTTTAAAACTGGTCCGGTGTTGCATTCAACAAATAATTTTGGAGCTGTTTCTTTATGTTCATCCAATGTTGACGACTTTAAATGGGTTTCATCGTCTTCTAAAATATTTCGGTCTTCAATTTTTTGAATATTTAGAGACTTTAGAACATAGTCGTCACATTCCATTAGCTCTGACAGTTTTGGAACATTGTCGTATTTTTCAATAACTGACCTTTTGCATGTTTTACCACAAAAAGCTGATGTATCCTCATCTGAAAAATATTTGACTGATGTCTTTGACTTTTGAATGGTCGATTCATAAAATTCATTTGTTAGCTTTTTCTTCACCTTGGAAAACCTTGTTTGTTCTATCAGAGATTCTGGAAAAACTCTCGTCCAAGTGATTGGCTGTTTAACAGATTTAAGACTCGTTTTATCGTTATATTCATTTTCATCTGTTCCAAATATAAATGTGTTAAACGTTGATTCGGCATTATTAATTTCATAAAGAATAGGATTACTTGGTACACCTTTAATTAGGGGAAACATTTGCAATTCTGTAGGAATATTGAAAATCTCAGATTCTGATGGTAGAAATTGATTTTTGTCAGTTTTGAAGTATGTGGCATATTGTTTAATGAATTGTGTTTCGCCATATTCACCTTCTTCGCCTATTTTTATTGCCATATTAAGAAAAAAAGAAACTGTATCAATATATCCATCATTCCGTTCAAGTTCCGCAACTCTAGCTTTAGCAACGTAATACATGATTTTTCTACGCGATTCAATCGTTTCCCAAAGACGATCAAGTTCAGCAAGCATTAGTTTTGCTCTCCTCATACTGTGTTTATCGATTGTTATTCCAGATATAGGATCACCTCTGAAACTTAATCCTAACAAACAATATATAATTCGTATTATGAAAAGACGCATCCAAAACTCTCTTATCGATTCTTCTTCTTCGTCAACACTTTGAAGTCCTAGTTCTGCAATATGAATGACCTTGTCACGTAGGTTTTTAGTAGGGTATTTCTCATAACGGCAAAGAAGGTTAAAAGCATATATGTAAAGCAAGTTAGAGATTTCCACACAACGACCTACAAGAAGAGATGTACAAATAGCACTTTGCAAATGCTCTTCCTCAACATCATGCTTACCTTCAAGTGCGTATCTTATAGCTAATCGTGATTGATAAGATAAGTGTGTTATGCTTGAGTTAGTTGTTTTTGGAATTAGTCTTTGTAGTTCTATCATTAAACTACTAAGAAAACTATTTTTAGTATATAACATTAAATGAGAATCTATTTCTGCCAGAAGACATGCTGCATATTTATCAGCAATCCCTCTTTTAACGGTATCATCATCAATACTCTGGCATCTCTCTAATTGCACCTTATATTTCTGAGATTCTTCATGACAATATTTTCGTGGATTTATAAATGCATTGTTATGAGTGTTAATTTTGAAGTTCATAAATAATCTTTGTGCAAATCGATGACTTGAGTTTCCTGTTTTGGTTCTATGAATACGGAAAATTTGTTTTTGTTGTGGTGTTGCAATCCTTACTTTTTGGCTCATTTCTATAGCCATGTCCCTGTATCCGTTGACAAGTAACAATTCCAACAAAGATTGAAGTTTGCATTTTTCAGTTATCAACAGATATAATGCGTCCCAAATGTACTGTCTATCAGAATACGTTTGCAATATATTATATAACTGTTTTCTTTGATTTGCAGAAAAGTGACCTACTTGGTATAATCCGTCCACCACTATTATTGGATCAACGTATTTTAGTAAAGTTTGTCTGTAGTTACAAATGATTTGTTTTTCGCACGTATTCATTTCTTCAGTTTTATGTTAGCCCTAACCTGGCATCCTAAAACAACAAAAACATCTAATATACAATAAGATTCAAATTTATCATTAAAAATCAAGCAAAAAAGAAAAGGAAAAGTGACAATTCTTTAGGGTAGATAGAGTGCAAATATGTCTTAGTAATAACTCTAAAACACTTAAAATTTCATCTTTTAAGCATGTGGAACTGACCTTCATAATCCTGACGTAGTACAAGCACTTTTCTTGGGAATATGGGGTATTTTGACTCGATTTTTAAAGAGAAAAACACATCCATGTGTGCAACATTCTTTTAAAGTGCAAATATTTGAAAATTATTCTCGTTATACATGTGTACCTTTGATCCTACTTGACTAAACTATTTCACTTTTTCATTAGTTATTATTTGAATAAAAGTATCTTAAAAGTCTTAAGTCCATCAATTATTAGTTTCAGAAATTGTTGAACGCGATCTCGAAGTACATAAACGGAAAGGGTCTCAATAGAACAGTCAAGTAAGATCACAGGGGTATGATTGGAACAAAATGGGTTGTTTATTAATTACAAAATGAAAAAGTTTTTCCCAGAAAAATGAATTTAAAGATAACTGTTCTGTTCTGAAAGGTTTCTTTGATTTCATATATTAACTTATTATTCAGAAGACATACAAATATGTGCAATAATGCTGACATCTTGAAAAATAAAAAAGTATCCGTCCTTTACCTTAGGTGACGACTGGGCAAAACAAGATAGTACAGACGATATGCTTATTAAAAATTATTATAAAATTATTTTTATCGTTAATGTCCCTCCACTAGGAACATGTTTTTGAAATTACAAAATGAAACTACTCAACAGAATATAAATTCAAAGGTATATTGCATACGCATGCAAAAAACGAATGGAGATAGCAAAATTGGAAAATGATCATTGACCATGGCTTTTTAGAATTACAGCTTTGATGTAAGTGTAGGTTTTATCTTTTGTCCGAAATAAACATTTAAAAAACCAATGTAACACTTCAAAATTTAGCGTTCAGTTTAGGACATTGGTCCTGGAATAATTGACACATCTGATTCAGTACCTGTGAAACAATATTTATGTCATATTCACAATATCAAGATATTTTTAGTCTGCATGACATCGGAAAATTTTGTCCTCAACATCAGTAAAATTGAATTTTCTTTCAAAAGTCGTCAATAATGTATATATCTATAAAAGTTTTTAAGAACTGCAAAACAAACAAAGACAAATTTATCTTAAACAATAAATCAAATGCAATACATTATTTTTTGTAAACAACAAGACAGTGTAATGTGTGAAAATGTGTATGACATATCGTACTAAATATATCATGTTCTACAAACACCAAATACGTGTTTATATTTTTGATGACATCATTCTTATGTGATAGTTTTATTTGTTTACTATTCAATTCGATATTTTACCTGAGATTACGTGTTAGTTGAGAGAACATTCGGGTATTATATTAAATGTTGATGAGAAAACAGTCATTATTTTTAATTTTTTTTCTCTACTCTAAAACATTGGCGTTTTGTTTTTACGTTGTTAACGCGTTTTCACTTAAGAATTAATTTTCAAATATCTTTATGTGTTCCCCTTTTTGTATTCTGTACATCAACAGGTTGAAATAATTATCTAAAACCAAATATAAACACATCAAAACCAAGAAAGATGCACACATTAATAAGTAATGATTTCATATATACAAGACTAGTCGTGAACGAATTATACAACAATATGTTTTAGCATTTGGGAATGGGACTATGGCTTTTAATAAACGAGTTATGGATATAGTGCACACAATTTTGTTTGTAGGAAGTTCCTTATTTTAATTTAAACAGAGTGCCATATATATATGTTCGCCTTCATTAGTGACGGAGATCTTTCTGTTTGAAACAATTTTTAATTATTTAATTAAAACATGTATTTGATTATCGTTACTTTTAATAGTATCATCAGTGTACTTACATATATGCAAAGATGTCCATTCCTCTAAAAAACAAAAGAAATTAAAATCTCTCTACTCACAGGATATATTGACCTTTAATTGCACATGTTTATCTATAGAGAAAACACGACAACCGGAAACATTGCCTACTTGAATACACTGATGATGTTACCTAATTGTGTCGACTATACCAAATATAAAATTACTGTTTTTAACTCAACTTACCTAATCGAATTCCACAGAATTTTAAACTGTTGCTCTAGTCCAAAATATTTAAAGTACAGATTTAATACATATGCATTTCCTCATTTGAAAAAAGACTGCCTCAGGTCACATGAGATTTTAACGTTCAAAATCACATGGAAACAATTAGGATGACACTTACAAATATTTTTATTTATTTGCATGTTTAACATATTCATTTTAGACACACATTTCGTGGAAAAGACACAACTTTAGATTACAACAACTAACTTTTTTTAAGATTCATTCTTTGTAAGTAAAAAGTTTATAAGAATTATATGTTTGTTTACTGTTAATTTTGCCACACCAAATATGTTTTATATATAGCTTATGATATTGATAATATTTCTTATGTTACACTATAGTACCTAAACATCATATTTAAGACACTCGTTAGAATTGCAATTGTGATATTATGGGCTTACCGTTGTTCTGGACACTTTATAACATATATATCTGTGATGGTGTCTTAACACAGATCATAAAATATTAAAAAACAATTGGGATATGCAAGGGATTGGTGCAAGATGAAATAGACGTAAATTGCATGTACTCTTCACAGATCTGTGCTGGTTTTAGTTTCCACAGCTGATTCATACCGCCCCTAAAATAGGTAGATTCACAACAACTTTGAAGCACAGCTTTGATTTCGGATAAAATTGATGCTAATAATTTAGAACGAGGTTAGGTGGAACACTTAGATGACCCAGCAATATAACGTTGTTCGATTGACACTTTAGGTATCCAATGCAGTGTTCTTCTTGTACTTTCGTTATTTTGTTGTCAACATGTTTGATACCGCTGTGTTAGAGTTAACTTCTTTTTATGAACGGATTTGTATTGTACGTTCTTTTATTGAAATTATATTTGGATTGGATTGGATGTAGTATTCGCAAAACTAGCATAATCACGCCACATGTTGATGTGGTTGTGCAAAGTCAGGAACATCTTCAGTGTATACCTTTAATTATAATATGTCGTAATGATGGTGTAGATGACGTATGTGTATGTTGATTTTTAGATGCTTTTTAAATAATTTTTTTACCGTTGGGTTGTTGTCTTAACTACTTTTAGACACAACATGGAACTTTTTTTTATTAATAATTTAAAACAAAAATCGAAAATCGTTATGGTTCTTTGAAATTCGACGGTTCTGCTTTTCCCATTTTTACGTTTACTCCTGGTCATGTAAGCATTTCTGTTTGCATCAAAACGTGATATTGCCTTTGGAATATCATTCGTTTCATTGTATGCATTCAGTGTTAATGAAGCGAATTTATTTTACGAGTATGTACTCATTTATGGACTATACCTTTATGATAGTTCTTCAAACATCTGGACTTTTCCGTCTGATCCAAAGCAATTCAATATTTGCGAGGAGTGTAATCGTAGTCTGGACTGCAGTGCTTCTAAAGGTTGCCCAGATATAGAGTTGTCTGATGAATATAATAGTGTTAATTCAGTAGTCAACACTTCTTTGCTGACATGATATACCTTTGATATGGTCTTATTTATAAATTTACTGTTCACAACACTATGAGTTGTTCGAAATAATAAAGAATTTTTACACAAGGAATGGATTACCTTAGCTGTATTTGTCAAAATATTTCGGAATTTGGGTTTACAATGCCCTTTAAGTTCGTACTTGATTTGGTCTTTAAACTTTTTTTTTCGAGCATCACTGATGATACTTCTGTAGACAAAACGCGCGTCTGGCGTACACAAATATAACATGGTATCTTTGATGAGTTTCACAACCCTGGGTTGATGTCACTGCCTGTGGACACTTTTTTGTAAGTTTTGTTTTCGGTAAGCTGGCGTTTTATTGCTTTTTTTGGCTAGATATTCAGATTGTTTTCTTTATTCACTATGACATCGTGATTGTTTACCTTTTCTTCAAATTCCCGTTGTGACTCCGGAACATGTCCTCCGCCTATCTATCTTTTTTTCATTTAAACTATTTGTTATTCAACGAATTAAATCATGCATTTATGATTTCACACTCGGTTTTTGGTGGGGTTCATGTTGCTCAGTCTTAAGTTTTCTATATTGTGTTTTTTTTCTGTCTTACAACAGGTTTGCCGGTACTGTTGTACGCCGAAACTTTCTAAATTGAAAAATGGGGAATAACGTAAGTTACGAGGAGATCACCCCCGGTTTTTGGTGGGGTTCGTGTTGCCCAGTCTTTAGTTTTCATTTTCATGTGTACATTTTGTCCATTCGTCATTTTTCGTTTTTTGCCGTGGCGTTGTCAGTTTGATTTCGAATTATGAGTTTGAATATCTCTTTGGTATCTTTTGCCTCTCTTTTACGAGTAGCGTCTTCCCCCAAATGAACTTAAGGGATTTAATGAAATAGCATGATAACCAATTTGTAAGTTGCGCCACCATTTAAGACTACCTTGCTAGAGTACTAGCAACTGCTAACAGAAGAAAAATCGAAACCATCAGAGGTGAAAAGCATGTAAGTACATTTAAGAGCTTCTCCAAAATTCAGTTATTCTATTCATTGAGAAATAATAAATTTTATTTATCAACATCATAGCATATTCACGAATTTAGGATTCTTGTAGATATAACAACATTGTTCGCTATGTGAAATATTCTGCATTTCATGAACATTAAACTACAATAAAAATGGCAATAAATTGTTAAGAACTGACATATTGATGAAAATTTATCTTCACCAATCCCGTGTTTTCCATGTTGAAAATAATGGTTACTTAAGATACGCTCATCTGCTTTCCACAAGTGAAAGAGGATCAATAAAGAAGCAAAATTGCTTTTTTGTCAGTAATGACTTACATGGTTATGAATACCAACAAGGTTATTTATTTAGTGAGAAAAATAATACAATATAGCATGTATTAGTTTTTAGAAATATTGTAAAATGAGAAAAAAGGAATGTAAATTAAATTCATATTTTGACGATGTATCCAAGTCCTATACTTCGTCCTCTTCACATTCCGATTATCGTGCTATCATTAATTGGGCCGTCGAACACAGTAAGTTCATTTAGAATAATGGCACTTAAATCGACGCGTCGTTTTATGTATTTGTGTTGCTCAAGATGATCGAGTTCCGATTTTTTAGACACATGCGCTACAGGTATGACCTACTCTTTCGACATTGATATATTAAAACAAATAAAAAAGACCATAAAACAAAGCATTCATATAGTTTTCTTTTAATTGATTCTTGTATCTGTCTTTCCTGTTGCTTCATTCCATTTATTTGCGAAAAATATTTTCTCAGCTGCATAATCATTATGTTTTCCTTGGCTATAACATTGCTTTTTCATATCTTCAATAGTGACTGTTTATCACAGCACACGCATAGCATACGATGGAAAGTTTAATTTCATAATGATTCTAATAGATTGAACACCACCACCTCAAAAATTCCAGACAGGCATGATAGCGAGAACTAATATTCAAGTTCCCCTGTGACTTCATCCCTTCGTCATGTTACACCTCATCATTCTGTCTTATCACTAGTTATATTCGGAAAATTAATTTAATATAAAATGTTATTGTTTTATTGTAATAAAAACCAAATTGCAAAACATCAAAATATAATTGTATGTAAACTGTCGTTTAAATGTTGTCATTTGTCTTATATATTTTTCAAACTATGGTTAAATTCCTATAAACGTTATATGCAAAATCAAAATTAGAATACAGCAATGTTAAAATATACAGGAAATACACAACAATGAGTAACTACGAGTAAAAGCACTTATGAACACCCCCACCCTAAAAAACCAATAGAGATGTCGGATATTTGTTAAATAAATAAATTTTATACTTTCAAAGGCTGTTTAACAAATCATTTAATATATAAAAAAATATGTGGTATGATTACCAATAAAACGATTATCCAACAAATGACGTCGGTGTAATCAACTATAGGTCACCAAACAGCCTTCAACAATTAGCAAAACCCATACTCTGTAGTCAGCTCTAAAAGGCCTCGACATTACAAAATGGGAATCTATAAAAGGTCTCGACATGACAAAATGGGAAACAATTTAAACGAGAAGACCAAAGGCATGATTAATGTACAAAAGAATTAACGAAAATCAAATATGACAGACAGCACAGCAACCAACGACAACCAATGAATTACAGGCGTCAAACCTGGAATAGGAACAAAAAGAATGTGGCGGGATTAAACCTGTTAATGAGCGCTCAGTCCTCCCCTTACCCATGACAGTGGTGTTACAGCACATCATAAGAACAAACTGCAAATATCAGTTAAAAATGGCTTAACTCAACAGATTGGTACCAAACACAAATATCTTACCTACATAAAAAACAAAACAAAAAACAGAAAGTATACCGATCTAAGATTACTCGCAAGTACTCAAATCTTGTTCAAAGACAATGACAACTAATGCATAAATCATTGTCTCCCATACTAAATCACCAATCAGTACACATTCAACGTATTTATTGTAAAGACGTTTATGAAATACTAGAAAATATGGATGTAGTAGAAATCGTCCTTATTTGACTTAAAAAGCAAAATGTGTATATTAATTTTTAAAATACCAAATTATAAGTAAATAGTATTGACAAGATGTAGGACCATACGTTTTCATTACTGTATAGCAATACATCATATTAAGTTATGTTTTAAATTATCAAACACAAAATCAATTTAAGTACCGATAAAAAATCTAACAACGGTGATATCCCGATTTTAATAATAATTCTCCATGTACAGTCTGACTTCCAAACCAAATCTTCCTATCTATGAAAAAAAAACCCAACTTATTAAAAGTTTTAAGTAATTTGTGGTAATACAATCCTTAGTTATTTATCAGTTATACATAGATTACGTTCATTGAAATCTAAAACGTCACTTACTAGAAACCAAGATGAAACGATATGTGAAGGCTTTATTTTGTAGTTTCAGTAGCCAATACATAGGGTCCTATTAATCCCATTAGAGACATAACCATCAAAACAAAAATCATACATATGTATCTTTTGAAGAAAAACAGCTGTTTTTTAAAATCTTTATTGTTGTATTTTTGTTTGTATACTAATGAAATACTGAAAAATAAAATGAAAGTTCACATGTTTTTTTCCCATGTATTTGACCCTATGCAATAAGTACCTTAGCTATATCATATTAAGCTGCTAGTAGTAGCCTGCCTTCCAAGAAAGGTCGGGTTTCCTATCACGCAAAAGTAACTAAAACACTTAAAATCCTAGCTTAAACCCTGGTAAGGGGGATAGTCAATTTTCAGAATAAGTCTTTAGGTGAGATGTGATAGTGACATGTTTATTTACTATTTTACTCTTAGTGGAGCGTATGTCCTGAAATGCAGAAGCATTTATAATTCAATTCTATAGAACATCTATATGTAGTATTAACGTGATACCACTACACATTGTTGGCTGCTTTTGAAATTGACTATACAAATACAAAAAGCTTTGCGAATACTTGAAATGAGTGTATTACTTACCCTTTAATTATCGAAGTATGGTACATGTACACGAATTTCCACAATATTCAGACATTTATTTAAATAGGAATCAAGTGATTTTTTGTCAGATTTCTTCCGTTTACACCATTTTTTTACAAAAAGACGAAGGAGCATCTTAAATGACATATGGGGCCCTTTATAGCTTGTTGTTCGGTGTGAGCCAAGGCACCCTGTTGAAGGCCGTACTTTGACCTATAATGGTTTACTTTTACAAATTGTGACTTGGATGGAGAGTTGTCTCAGTGGCACTCATACCACATCTTCTTATATCTATTAACGACACTCTTTCGAACTGATGGACGATATTGTGGTGCTTTTTCCAGAAAAGTTTATAGCCTCTAGGCATTTTTAATTTCATGCAGAGTCGGCATAGTTGAATATATGTGTGTTCAAAATCACCAAATTTTTTTCTTCTTAAACAATTTTGATAATTAGTATGGATTAGGAGGTATATGTGCTATGAATATATTGTTCCCAATTAAGTGAACAATATACTAGAAAATGTTCTAAATTAATCATGTGTACACACCTGAACTGCAAACGGTAAACATACAACAGATGTATTCCCGCTAGTTACATGTTAATTTAATTTTCTAAAAGCATTTTACAGGCAAATTGTATTAATTTTGTTATAATGTTTATTTAGACGATATGAAATTGTCGTAAATCATCTAATTTTGTCATTACAATGTATTTGTTTGCCATGGGAATATAAAACTTGGGGGAAACAGAAAAGCACACTTTCTGACAGCATGTTACAGTAGAAGGAACTGTTTCCACATGTGACATTTAAGGTACGTATCAGTGTATGTATTCTTTCATATAGTCTGGAAAAATCAGCAGATATTTTTTTTCTAATTATTACAGGCATCACGCTATTGTGTTTATAAATATAATGTATAACCTATACAATGCATTCATTTATTAAATTTTGTTATGCCATACGGATCAACTTTTTCGCACACAAGTGTATGTTTGTGTAAGTTGATGGTTTTTATATCGGATGTATTTATTTATCATGCATACAAATTCACCTTTTGATTCAACGCTTTGTTTAAATTTCGGATATAAAGAATATATATTAAAGCTGTGTATATAATTGTGCGTAAAAGACTTAGATACGGGTTTCCGTTTCCTTTGGTCGTTGCTCTCTCGCCCCCTCTCGTTTTACTAAAATTAAATGTAAGACTGTTAATTTGCATTTTGTATTGCTTTTAAGTTGCAGCAATGTATCATAATTGTCTCAACAGTATTTGCAGAGCTGTACATGTACACCATTTTAATTTTATGGATATTGTTATTTGGAAAACCATTATTGCATTTTATCATAACATGTACCGAACTTAATAAACCTAGGATCAAAATGTTTAATGAAATTTCTAATATTGTCCCCTGTTTTAATTCAATGAGTAATGAAAACAAATTTGATTTTATATTTTCTGGTGAAGAATGTGATATATTAATTATCATTGTTAACAGTATAAGTGAAATGTAAATATAATGTCAATATATGAACTGTGTATGATTCATGACTCATATTATAATGTAATATATAATCAAGATATTTGAAATGATAACTTTATAGAGGAGGCATGTTGTCAAAATAGTATTGTAATAAATATTAATAATTTTTATTTTTTTTCAATGCTACATGTTTGTATTGTTTTCGGTCTATCGTTTTGTTATTTATGTTTGTTTGTTTGTTTTTTATTTAGTTACAATCCTATTGTTTGGATTTTAGACTAATAAAATTCTTATTCTTAATCAAATCTCACCAACTTTTCGTTTTAAATCTGTGCTATGAAAATAAACTATATTCTGAAATCCCTTAACCTGCACCAGAAAAGATGCAGTTGCCTTTAATAGCGATTTAAATACTTTTGCTTTTATTTCAATTAAAATAACGTAATGCTGCCTCTGACCCTATTGCATCTAGAAATGACCTAAATCTAATCCAGATGTTTCCTGCTTCCAGTTAATTTAGTTTAAATTCAATTAAAAAGGTTTCAATTAAAGTTTGGTTGTGTTTGCAAAAAATTGCTAAGTGGAACTGAAAAATCTCAAGATAAAGTCTCCTGAAACATGATTTTCTTCCTTAATAAACAGTATCAAGTTTTATATTGCTGTTGATGTTTGTGTTAATCTGACACAACAAGTACAATTAAAGGCGACAACACTGAAAATAATTACATTAACTTATTTTAACACGATGTTTATTTATAATTTTGTAGGACAAAGACAGATATACTATTGGAGATATGAATGTGTTAATCATGGTAACCTTTATTCTAAATATAGCAATCGTTTCATTGCATGCATTCAATGTCAACGCAACGAATTTATTTTACCAGTATGCACTTATCTGTGGACCGAACTTTCATAATAGTTCTTTAAACATCTGGTCTTTTCCGTCAGTGCCAAAGCAATTAAATATTTGCGAGGAATGTAATCGTAGTATAGACTGCAGTGCTTCTAACTGTTGCCCAGATATAGAATTATCGCGTCAAATAGGGCAATGTGAAAGCAATATAATATATTCATCAGAACCGAATGAAATTTATAACGAATACAGAATGTTATCTACGTGTCCCCACAATACAAGATCAACACTTAATGAACTATGTGTGAAGAGACGAAGCATTCAACAAAGAATTCAGGATGCACCTGTCACGTCTAGATTAACAAGAATATCATTTCGAAACAAGTTTTGTGCTCTTTGCAACAATGAAACTAATTATGTACCATGGGATGTTGATATCATTTATACATGTAATGGTGTTTCTGAATATTTAACCGCTAAATATGTTGTGGAAACTATTGCTAGTCAAAAGTGTGGAACAATTAAGTATCGTCCGGGCATAATAGGTGTGATACAATGCAATAAACCTGATTTTTCCTTAATACATACATGTAACGTCACTGGAACGTGGTTGAAATTTGACAAAGACATCGAATTTGCGTGTAACAAATTTGAAAATAAATTTAGATATTATAAAAATATATTTTGCTATATTTGCAATCCTCCTGTAACATTTCAAGAAAGATTGATCATATCAAAGTGCAATTTAACAGGATTATGGACGGAATATAGCAGAGATATGGAAAATTCATGCAGAATAGCCGAACAAAGTAAAGCCACATATCCTTATAAGAATATATTTTGTTATATTTGTAATCACAACATACCGGAGAAAAATGTGTTTCACTTGGAGTCATCCTTAGATTCTTTCAAGTATTATTTATTTGATAATTTCCATAATAAAGATCATTATAAAAAGGAGAACGAAACATTTGACTCAGAGAGTATTGCAAACGGCCACAAAGAATTTTACCGGTGGCATATCATGTTATCCTGTCCAATATCTCTTCCTGTTGGTGTTCTGGAGAATAATCACTCAACTTTTGAAAAACTAGGCATGGCAAAATATTGCAATATAACTAAGCAATACATCGACATATTCGTTATAGATAAGAAGTACCATTCTTTGGCAATACTATTCAAAATGTACTGGGCATTTGTTTTTTCAACAAATTACATTATTTATTCAATTTACAACGATACACAAATACGTTGTACGGATTGCTCAGAGGTGCACGACATGTATTTTAGAATATTTACACCACAGTGTGAATCTTTTATTCAAAAGGAAAACTATCGGTATCCATTAGAATACCTAATGTGCGTTTGTTCTAAGAGAAGTGGGACGGATGTGTTGTATCCACCAATTTTTATTGGTGGTAAAACTGCATTTAATATTTTTCGTATAAAATCGTATTCAACACTTGCAAGCCAATGCCGTGAAACACAGATATATGATCATTATAAGGTAGGTTTACTGATATAATTCAAATCTTTTCACACGTAAAGAATGTTCCGTATAGTTGAAAGTACTTTATAACAAGATTTTATAATTTCAATAAATAAATAAATGATATATAAATAGTAAAATAAATTAAAACATGGAATTCTATGCGACTGTCATACAAGTGAGAGGTTTAGCTAGCTATCAAACCAGGTTTAATCTACCATTTTCTACATAAGGAAATGTCTGTACCAAGTCAGGAATATAACAGTTGTTTTCCATTGGTTTGATGTGTTTGAGCTTTTGATTTTGCCATTTGATAAACACTTTCCAATTTGAATTTTCCTTGGAGTTCGGTTTTTTTGTTATTTTACTTATTTTTTATAAATTGAAACATAAAAATCCGCCAATTTAGTACTCTTAAAAGTCATATGATACTTCAAATATAACAAAAAAGTTGAATATGTTTTATGTACTTAATGGCTAAGTTTTACTATTAAAAACGTATAAGCAGAGATTTTCTTATAAAAGAAAGTCCTTTATTTTATCATAATTTTTAGAAATGTACTGCTATTTAATTATTGTATTCCCGTACTCTAATTCTCCAACAGCTTTTCTTTATGTAGTAACCTTAATCTTGACACTTTTCTTTAGAAATTCCACAATTGCACAGCTCGAGTGCAAGGGAAAACCCTTGTTGATAGAAAATGTAAGCAAACGTGGGAAAGAAGATAGTATTAACCGATTCCGAAATAAAAGCCTTAATACGCTAAATAACTTAACTGTTATGACAAAGTGTAATTATCAAATGGGAACACATGTAAACATAAAAAAAATATGTATATTAAAATATCGCTCTTCCATCTCACCTATTTTTCACGTGTTCGATGTGTCTGTGTTGATTGTTTATCAAAAGATAACGATCGGTAAACTTCGGCACCTAAACCCGAAAGTAATAAAATTAGCAGGTAAAGTTTACGATCATCAATCACAGAATGAAATATTTTTTGTCGATTATACTCCATGGATACGTAATAAATGTTAAAAAAAAAAAAGACTTTAACAACTATGTACTACGAGACTGACATATGTTACTATTACAATTAATATATGACTAATGTTGTGAACATGTGATGTTATAATTTGATAGATTTCATACTTGCTATAGTTAATATACTTATTAGCTTTCAAATTCAAGGGACCAAAGAATCTTTACTAAATCTACAAATTAGCAGTAAAAAAATACTCGTCCATCCTGCATTTGTCACGTGTTATCTAGATGTCTTTGGTTTTGTGTGTCGTTAATTGGCCAGTTACTGTCTTATTGAATCTCCAACATCTCCCTTTTCAACACTTTATTTAATATACATACTTGTATATGTACTTGTTATAAAATCTCCTTAAAAGATTGCGAATACCATCGGACTTTTTCCGACGCTCATGTCAGCAATGTGCCCCTCCCCAAAAAACACCTTTGTTAATCGTTTGTGAGTCGTTTTGTCTAACCACTTAATGAAATGATGCATTTTTCATCATCTGAACTTGGTTTACTTTTATAAATTGTTACTTGGATGGAGAGTTTTCTCATTGACACTCATACCACATCTTCCTATATCTATTGTACATCATGTCCAACTTAAACAACAAAACACACCCATTCCTGTACACCCAAGCGTAAATTAACATGAATCTAAAATCAAAATGATTTTAAAATCTCGTTGTTTTTCTCAGTTTGTTTCTGTCGTTTGAATAATATATGTTAACGAAAATATCTCTTTTTATTTTGTTTGCGTTTGAAGCGCTTTTCTGGGTTTACCTTCATCAAAGCACCGATTATTCATTTATTGTGGGGCCCCTGTTTTTTAATGAATCGTGTGATTGTAAATTTCGAGAAATAATTTGTTTCGAAATGAAATTGAAAAAAAATATGTAACGGGATCTGAATGATTTAAATCTATTTCGTTCCTCCGGGTGCACATTAAGTGTTGACATCCCATATTTTCAAGCCTTTGTTAACTTTTTCCGCTTTCCGATGTTGCTGTCCTGTGTAAATTGCGCTTAAACGATTACAGTGCTGGCAATTTATTTTTTACAAGCTTCCGAAACCATATCGGATTTCTTCTGTACAGTCCAATAATTTTCAGAAACTGGTTACTCTTGGAACATAGGGAAAGTTGTGCAGTCAAATAACCAAGCTCAATTATTCTTCTTTGTTTATTCCATTCAAACAAACCATTTTCTGTCTGAGTTTCCACGTCTGCTTGTACGGTGAATTTTTCGCAAAATTATATCCGTATTCTTTTCCAAATAAATTTCATTTTTCTATTTTGCTAGCAGCGTTTTTCGGCAACCATTTTAAAACGAATGAGTTTCTTAACGAAATTGCACTAATAGTGGCACAATTCCCCGTATTTTCACACATTATCCTGCGTTTCTATAATTTGGATTTCTACTTTAAAAAAAACCAAAATTCATCGGGAAACGGCGTGCATCATAAATAAGAATTTATTGCCAAAAAAAACAACCAAGAATAAAAAAAACTCAGTCTATTATGCATAAGAACATATATAGATAAATCGTACACATGCTTACTTATTAATAGGTACAGAACATTTAAAAAAAAGTATATGATTAAATGTAAAGCCGATCGAAGCAATCAATGTCAAATAACGTATTGAATCAAATCTCTCGGCACTCTGCATCTATGCAAAGTTTCAATGAAAAATGTTTACCAAAAATAAAAGGTTCTTTTATTATTTTATTTTCGCGATAAAAGAACAGCATAGGGCCTACATGTATTGTGTTATCAACCGCCCGAGACACGACGGAACCTGCTGCATTGACTGGTATCAATGAACGACGCTAAAATGAAGGAATTCTCAATATATAATCTTATATATTTGCAAATTTGAAATAAAAAAACATTTATCTTTCAACTATTTTATACCAGACTGAGGCAAATTGTTTGTTTAATTCGTTCTAAGTTATTATAAAACATCAGGTTTTACGTTTGTCGTCAATTTCATGGATGTCGACAACAGCAGGAACGATAACTCGTGGCGAAACGTCATTCGGTATCGTGTAACCTTAATATGTATCTGAGACTACTATAACACATGTGATAGTAGTCTCAGTATGTATATGTATGATTTGGTTCAATAATTTCCTCAACCTTATAAAACAAGAAACTCGTTTTATATAACTTAAAGAAGGGAATAGAGAATTGTTAAAAAATAAGACATGGCAATTCAAGATTGGGTGTCCTTTGAATAAATTGTTTAAATGTTTATTTATTAATACATTGAAACAATGCAACTCATTAACTTGCTACTATAAATGTTTCGTATTATATATATTTAACCTTTCTTATCAAGGTCAAAGTCAAAGGCTTTACAAAATTCAATCTTCGGAAACAAAAGGATACAACAGATACTAGAAATTTGAGTCCGTCACTACTTTTTAAAGATTATAGTAAAGCGAATCAGTAAGAGTCCATTAGAAATGTGTAGACAAAATGCCTTGAATATATACTTTATCTAATTCATGTGTGTTTTCACATTGCAAAATAACCTCTGTTAAGACCGAGTTTAGTTTAAACATATTTTATTTGCTCAAAGCAAAAAAGGATCAGACACAAGTAAAACATACTTATAAAGTCTTCTCCACAATACAATATATATAACAATACAAGTTAAACGTGAGCATGCATCATATAATATAAACAACATAAATATTACTAAACTATACTGAAAAAAGGAGAGGGAAGAACGACAGAGATTAGGATGATGATGATAATGATGATGATTTGCGTTTTACCTATATTGATACTATACTACGAGGAATCGTTTTGATCTCTTTATAAAATTGGATCCTGGTTTAACAATTTACACATTTTGATCATAGGAAAGAGTTTCTTTTCCAAAAACCAATAGTTTTAAGTCCAACTCACAGCCTTCGGGAAGCCAGCTGAGACCATTAAAAAGAATAACCCTTTCATTTAGATAGAAGGGACAATCAAAGAAAAAATGGTGCATGTCCTCAATATCCAAACCACATTACATGTTGGATCAGATATAATGTTAGCTCTAAACTAGTCATAATTCAAGAAGGATGCCAAACATCTAAATTGGGTTAATATTATATTCAATTTTCTTGGACCATATAAATAATGTTTAGATTGATAGATTCTAATCGTAGAGACACACTACACCGGCAAGATTTCATGTAGGAAATTTCCGTAAACCCTAACTTCTTGACTTATTTTACATTTATTGCTTCGTGTAATTATGTAATATCTTTTATTCAAATCCAGTAAATGATTTGTTTAAAGTATAAAATAAAAGAAGTAGGAGTACCAATAGTATACCCCAATCATAAAAACGAACGATGTACTTTCTCTTGGATTGTGTTTGATTCATAAGTTTTAGAATTTTATTTGATACATGCACAAACATAATCGCAAACTGGTTACTTCAAAGACCCTCCTCCAAATTGTAATAAGAGATGCGCAATCAGTGTAAATGAGACACTAATGGGAGGACGCCAAAAATAATAAAGACATATAGATTTCAACTTACATTCTAAAGGATAGTTGGATATTATATGATATTTCAAGCAACAGCTTTGCCCCAAAAGATATTCTGCTATAAAATGTATTTTACAAAGATGATTTTGTGTGTAAAATATTAAAATATTGCAAGTGAATTTTATGAATTATAAAGTGTCCAGATTATATTAACCTAATAAAAAACAAAGAATATGGGTATCCATCCATGACACAAAATCAGTACATGCACAGTAAAAAACTCATAAAAATCAAAGGAACAGCTTTTACTGCTGTTCATTTATCAATAAAATTAATATAATTTTGAAAGGATTAGATAACTTTACTATTTTTGCAATTTCAGGGATAAAAAAACGGCTCTTATCATAACTCCTCCTTAAATGCTACTCTACTGTATTTACTAGGTCACCACATAAAATGAGCGGTCCATTGAAATACATGTTGATTGCAATATATGCAT